GTCTGTGGGGAGCAGAGCTGGAAGAGAGATGAGTATTTGCAGTTGGGTATTTTTTTATTCTTAGAATATCTGAGACACTCGTTAATCATAAAAAAGGCTCCTGGAACTTGGAAGGTTGGGTCGGCCCACAAGGAGGATTCTCCCGAAGACTTCACAAGGTTCTGATGACCCGCCATCAAAAAACCCCAAATTACAACTACGCTATTGTGACGTAGAATGGACCAACGTTCTACACTAAGCTCTAATATATCATTATACAGCGACGTTCCGCCATGGAGTATACAGAAGTCCGCCATGGAGTATACAGAAGTCCGCCATGGAGTATACAGAAGTCCGCCATGGAGTATACAGAAGTCCGCCATGGAGTATATAGAAGTCCACCATGGAGTATACAGAAGTCCGCCATGGAGTATATAGAAGTCCACCATGGAGTATACAGAAGTCCGCCATGGAGTATATAGAAGTCCACCATGGAGTATACAGAAGTCCACCATGGAGTATATAGAAGTCCACCATGGAGTATATAGAACTCCGTCATGGAGTATATAGAAGTCCGCCATGGAGTATACAAAAGTCCGCCATGGAGTATACAGAAGTCCGCCATGGAGTATATAGAAGTCCGCCATGGAGTATACAGAAGTAGGTGCCATCAGGACAACATAGACAGGTTTTGAAGGTCAGTTAGTGGGAATGTTTTTGAAGTTTCCTTCACATCTTTATTCCTCATACTGTAGACGAACGGATTCAAGAGCGGAGTGACCGCTGTGTAGACGACCGGCACGCCCTTGTCTATCCTTGAAGAGCGAGCGGTTGGGGGTCTCATACACATGAACATGATGGCCCCATAGTAGACGGTGACCACAGAGAGGTGGGAAGCACAAGTGGAGAAGGTCTTATACCGGCCTTGAGCGTTACGGATGTTTAATATCGAGTAGATGATGTGACAATAAGAAACTAAAGTCAGAAGGAAAGAACACATGACAATAACCCCTGCCGAGATATAGATCAACAACACATTGGCCCAAGTATCTCCGCAGGACATCTGTAGGAAAGGAGGAATCTCACAGAAGAAATGGTCTATGTGGTTGGAGCGGCAGATTGGTAGACTCAAAGTAGGGATCACAAGGATGAAAGAGTTCAGGGATCCGACGCTCCAAGCCATGGCAGCAAAACCAATACAAAGCTTCTTGTTCATGACGGCGTTGTAGTGCAATGGTCTGCATATGGCGGCATACCGGTCGAAGGCCATGACCGCCAGTAAGATGGACTCACACGCACCCATGGCTAGGTGGACGTACATCTGAACCGCACATTCCAACAGGGAGATACTTCTGTCTTTGGATAAAGCGTTGATCAGGATTTTGGGCACAACGGTGGAGGAGAAGATGATGTCTACGGCAGAGAGATTGCTCAGAAAGAAATACATGGGGGTCTGCAGAGTCGGGTTGACCCTCACCGCAAGAATCAGAAGAAGATTGCCGGATAATGTCATGATGTACATCAGCAGGAACACCAGGAAGGAGAAGACTTGGAGGCGAGGGTCATTGGACAAGCCAAGGAGGATGAACCTGGTGTAAGACGTTTGGTTTGTGATTTCCATATGGTTCAGCTGGAGGCTGCGCGGGAAAGAGGTCAAATTATTGACGTTTACCAGAATTTTCTATAAAGGTAACTTTATGAATACGTGTCAGCCCCTCCCACCTGAGTGCTTCTGGGAAAGTTCTGTGTGGGCCCCAAAACAGTTCTGGTTGTTCAGTCTTCAGATTCTACAATGACTACAGCTGGCCATGTGCCTCAGGAGTTTTCTCCCTCGGCTCCAATCTCCGGCTGTGCAAGAGACGGAGGACATAGAGCACTCTAAACCAGATAACACTGCAAGCCTTCAAAATATTTGGTGTAGCTGGATATGGTTCAGACCTGGTCCAACCCATGCTTCCATACTGCTCACCTGAACTGTCCTGAGACTTTGTCCTCCTGAACTGTCCTGA